TGCACCAAAGCATCAATTGGTGTGAGCAAGCTAGGCAGAGAGCCAACCAATACTCGAATAATGATAAATTTGATCCAATTCAGGAATGTGGGTCGGTAGTACACCCGACTTTAGCCCGAATCGATCAATAACATCTGGAACATAAATGAACGTACATATAGCAGAGCGAGAGCATGGCTGGTTGGAAACAAAACCCCCAACAATCAGGTCTGTGTGTATCATTCTTCCAGGCCGACATGAGTACGTAGTGCCGATCTAAGATGTTGTTGGTAGCAAGACAAATCGATGACGACATCATTTCTTCTTCTTCTTCATGACTTCATTATCAATGGCGACATTCTCTCTTGTGTACGTATCTCTCACTTTATAAAAGTGAACAAGTACTGGCGTTTAAAAATATCGGTGATTTTGAGCATGATACCTCTCCATTACGGTTATGTATCACTAAAAAATTGTGTGTGTGAGGGTGATATCGGAGACAATGTTCCACCAAACAAGCTTCTGCAACTCTGTTTTAATTGTTTCTTTTCCCCACTGCATTGCCCCACTTCAAACCCCTTTCCATTTCTTTCACTTGTTCCATTGAACCTTGAAATGCACCAAATCAAGAAGCTTTCTCTCCTTTCCTCTCTTTCCTTTTCTTTCATTTTATCATCACTTTTCCTCTACCCTTCCAAAAAAAAAAAAAAAAAAAAAACATTCCTTCCATAAATGGGTTCTCAAGGCAATTCCAAAATTCACTAGAGAGTAAGTAGCAGTACTATTTGATTGCTACATATGCTAAAAATCAATACTTAAAATGAGGAACATTTAGAAATAAGAAAGCTTAATCAAAGGGTACACTTAATCAATAATAAGAAGCTCCCTCACATTTTGAAGAGTAAAAGAGAAATAATTAAGGATATTATAGGTTATCATTACAAGCTAGCATCGATAGCTTGGTCCCAGTGTCATAAACCAGTTGGTTCCAATAACTCGAGTTGTTGGGAGAAGGTTATGTTGGATCTGATACCACTCTCTAACACGCCCCTCAAACGAAAGCCAACTCATGGGCTTGAAGTTTGCACAAGTCCACCATACCTTGTGCTTTAATCAACTGTTAATATTGGGGGTCGTGGAGATTCGAACACACGACCACTTGGCCAAACTAGCTTTGATACCATGCCATAAACCAGTTGGTCCCAATAACTCGAGTTGTTGGGAGAAAGTTATGTTGGATTTTATACCACTCTCTAACACCCAGTACTGGACTGCAATTGCAACCAGGTGATTATTGTCTTTAGTTGTTGAGAAAGATCTATTCTTTATCTAATTGTACCCTTTGGGCTATGTTAGTTTTAGTCATCTCTATGCTTTTGGTTTTCTACCGATTTATGATACGAAGAAGGTTGAAATCCAAATACATTATGACTTTATCTTTCCGCTTTGTTATATTTGTTCATCGAGAAGCCGCAATCCAGCCGCTCAACATGAGTAGATCGAGAAGAAGATATATGTGTTACAACATTATAACTATTAGGGCTTTTAATTGAGCTATGAAGTAGTGAACCAAATTAAATTAGCAACCGACGCCATATCCAACGATCAATGATGGGTAAGGTACACCAAAGACTGTCCCTTTTTTTGTGTGGGTTAGAACAGAAAAGATCCCTCTCCCCAAAACAATGATCCAATTGCTCTGTTATTGAGCGGTTCTTCTCACCATATTCATTCATCCCAAATTTGGATCTGATCTCTGTGCTGATATCGCAGTTAGTTAACACTGAGAGAGCTTTTTGGACGGTCGTTTTATTATCTATCTATAGATACCAAAACGAGATCTCATCTCGTTCATCATCACCAATTCTACTGGTAAGTGGCAACAGATTCTTATTATTGTGCTGGCAATCCAAATGCTGCACTCAGTCAAGCTTTCAAACTGATGTGAAATGGCTTCAATATAGAGGCTTTTCAAGAATGATGGTTCAAAAAGTCTACATCACAACTTTGTGAGATCCTGTGATCAACTCTAATGAAGAACAATGCAGCTGCAAAAATATGGTGACTACACTAGAACAGGAGGATGATCAAGATGTTTTCCCCCCCTCTCTCAAACTCCTGTTTACCAAGAATTCGAGTTGCAGCGAAGGACGAAGGATGCTCTATATAGTTAGCTTGTTAGACTGCTGGCAGATGCTAAACAAAGTGCTCGGTTGGGTACTCGTGCTCGTACCCGTTATAGTCATAGTATAGTCTCTCTCCCTTTGGTATATCTCTGTTGGCAATCAGCAAAACTCGGCACTCGCCATCGACATCGTACCTCACACATTTCAAGTTCTGCTTCCTTTTCCCCTCCCTGCAGTGGACAACATGAGAAAAAGGGTTAGGGGTGACTAGTCCCTTTCGAAAACCTTCGGATGAGGCCTAAAAGAAGTCGACCATGCGCTTACGGGGTGTGATTGTTGATTCCATTGATGAATCGAGCTACATTCCCGTGCTTATAAGGGCAAATGACGAGGCTTTTGGCCGGGTCAGCAGCAGAGAGCAGCGTCATCATGCTGTCCCCGTCATCGTCTTCACGTTTCTCCAAGTAGTCCACATCACCAACGTACTCCGTGACAATGGTCAAGTCTTTGATGAATCTGTCTGCCTCCACTGTGAACCTGCTTCCAAATTGAGCAAAGAGATTACACAAGAATCTCCTTTGATACATACCATTATGTTCCGGTCAGTAACATTAATCACATACACATATACCCTTCCAGAGGATCAAAAACGACCATAAGTGGTGGGCATTCTCCTCTATCCATCATTCTCTTGCACAGATTTAAGGTTTCGGTGTCTTCCTTTGACAAGACCTATAAAGTTGTCATTCTGAAAATGTTAGGATTTCTGAAGTCTGAACCCTATCAATCTTCCAAGCAGCACTTTGGCCAAGAAGATGATGAATCAACAATTCTCTATCGCCATATCAGTAACTTTCAGGATTTTACTAAACTAAGCTGAATGGTATTAATAAACATAGGATGCCACTAAGACCAATTTCAAAGTCACACCCTTATATGTCCATCCATACTGGCTTCCAATAATGGAGCATTTCATCCTGCTAATTGTCTCAAAAATGCAAATGGGCAATTACCAAGAAATATATAATCAACCCTGTTAATATCTACCTGCATTCCTGCCTTCTCAAGAGATGCTTGGTTCGCAGACCGAGGTGCCATGCCTCTTCGGTAAGTAAGATCATCAGAAAACCGTGTCCCGGAGGCTAGCAATGCTGTGGCAAGTGATCTCATCTGTTCCAACCTTCTGTCAGGGTCCTCGCTTGGGTTGAAAGGCAATAGCTTCCTTCTCTTTTTGGACATGACTAAACTTCCAACTCTTTTACGCTTCCTTGGGCTGTCTGCAATAGCTCGAAGGCCATTCCATACTTAATTACAGCAAAAAAAAAAAAAACTAAGAAAGCAAACCAAGATCACAATCTCATGCATCGGTCTAAAGACATTACTTACCCTCAATGGGTTTCTTTCTTGGTGTTGAAGGCTTCTGGATGCGAAAGAAATCGACGATTTTGGTCTGGACCAGAGGAAATGCTGTTCGACAACAATGAACGAAACATGCACAAGTAGCATCAGACCCTCGAAAACATAATTGATACTTCCTTCAATTCTTCACATCAAGAAAATTACTTGTAGTCCGCCTATCGAGCAACCCAAATGGACAGCAATCTCATTGATCGATCATGATTCATGATATTAACATAAAGCCCCCATCTTTCTTTTGGGTCTAGCTGTGCAGCCTAGTCCATGGCAGGCAAGCTATGCACCAGAGAAAGAAGCAAACTAGTTATGGTGACCTTCCCAGGATTCAAATCCAACATGAACAAAACCCACTTGCCTTGCTAAGCTACCTGATTCTTCACCTAGGCAATATAAATTACTAAATCCCTCGCCATTGAGAGAAAGGAACCAAACAATTCGATAAAAAAAAAAAAATTATGCTATCTCTGCACACATTGCAGCTGTAATGGATCAATATTCAATACCCAATATACCCACAAGAGCGTTTCAAAGCCTGGGTACGAAACTAAGCAGACAGATCAAAATCATTCGAGCAACATCAATACTACGAGGGCGGAATACGAATGAAATGAAAAAAAAGGAGGAACACGAATCGTTCTGGAACCTACATTTGACCATCTTCTGGTTAGAGCAAGAGGGGCAGAACCAGGAGCCTTTGGGGACGGAAACGAGAATGGGTCTCAAGCAAAAGAGATGGTAGCCTCTGTCACATTTGTCGCAGAGAAGCAGCTCGGCCGGAGAGTCACCGGATCCGCATTCCTCGCAGCACAGGTCGTCATACTCGCCGTCATCGTCGCCGCCGGGGGAATCTCCGGGTAATGGGGCCGGAGCAGCGGGCCGCGGAGCTTGCGTCCGCCGCCGGAGAAACATTGGGGCGGCGGGGGAAGAGGCCATGGTCAGGCTGAGGAGAGAATGGCACGGAAGAAGGAGAAATGGTCTAATGCAGCGGCGGGTGGTGCTTACGCGGAAGCCACTCCCCCCTTTGTGCTCGCTGTAAAATTTAGGTGGGTGTCAGAAATGAGCTATTTTCAGAGGGGGCGATAATTGGATTTTTGTAGGTAAAATTCAACCACTTATTGGTTTCGGTTCGGCCAGAACAAACCGAAAAATCGAATCTTTCCACTCGTCATAATCCGATCTTTTTGGGTTTTCATCGGTTTTATAATTTAAACCAAAATCGAAAAGTTGAGTTGCAAAATTGCCAGACACCAAACAATTGGCACCGTTATTTTATCGGTTCAATCTCGCTGCAAACCAAAACTTAGTAGACATATAAAATAGTCAAACGGGCATAAAATCATCATCGATCATAATTGTGGGAGTTTCACAGTTCTCTGATTCTTTCAATTTAAATAGTATAGGGTTCAAATCTCTTAATCATCATGTAAAAATAAATTTAAATCGATATCTCCTTGATAAAAAAAAAAATTATAAACAAGATTAAGACCAAGAAAAGTCTTTCTTCCAATTCACTTCATCGTTGCTGAAGTAAAACCCATCCTCCTTAACCAACCAAGAACACTTCCTCGGTCGGTAGCACCGTCGAACGTCCCTCGCCACCTTAAACGCGTCGAATTTCCTCTTCCGCAGATCCCACTTCACCGTACACACGACATTAACGCCGCCACTACTGCTACCGGAAAAGCAATCGGTCGTCGTCGTCGTCGAGGTCCAGCTGAAATCGTCGCCTTCCTGAAGTGCTCGCCCACCCATATCACCAAATTCCTCGCCACCGGATGAGCACCATACGACCAAGGCAAGCGACGAGTTGTTCGTAAATCCGTTGATCACTCGGACGTCGTACTCCAGTTGTCGGCGCCGACAACTGGAGTAATTATTGAACATTGTGAGGAAGATGATTCCCATGGAAAGGCCTAAGAGTAGTAGACGGTTTTGAGTGGCCAATCTCATGCTTTTGATGAAATGGGTAATGGAGGTTTGGAGGAAAAAAAAGTGATGATTATAATGAAAGGAGGAAGAAGATGATCAAAGCCAGTAACAAGTTTCTTAAAGCAACGTTGAGCATATATATAGTAAAAAAAAAAAAAAATGTTGTCAATAAAGGGAAACATTGTCTTTCTAAAATAAAGATATGTATTGACATATTTGTTTGGTTGTTAAAAAAACAAATCTATTAACTACTATACTGCTTACTATAATTGTACCACCCGCCCAACTGTGAGACTGGTAATCAAAATAATTAGTGTTTATCTTATTTTTCACAAAACGTCACGCATCATAAAAGCAAAAAAACATCTATAATTGTGAAATCGCTAATCTTAGGGGTCGTTTGTTTCAAGAATTTTATAACAAGGGTTTTGTCATGGATTTGCTAATTAAAAACCTTGGGATTTATTAGGGATTTTGGGCATTATGGATTTGAGGAAATCTTTTGTTTGTTGAGCTATTTTTATCATGAATTTGATGGTTTTTCAACTTGTCTCCAAATTCCAGGGTATGAGATGGGATTTACAAACGGATTTGGAGCCCCAAATCAGTGGACCCCACGGATTTGGTACCCTCCATTTTGAGTCAACAAACAATGGTTTTTGGACAAATCCTTCATGTGTTGGATTTGAGAACCAAATCCTACGTCCAAATCCTTGAAACAAACGAACCTAGATGCTCTAAGATACGTTTAGCGATGGAGGGAAAAGGGAAGAGTGGCGAATTAGGTGCTCTAAGGACTAAGATACGTTTAGCGAAAACCGAGAAAACGCTGCCCTGCTTTTCAATGGAAATGGAAACCAAGAACCGACTCCCTGCAACTCACATTGTCGCGTCGAACGAGTCACCCGAATTCGCCCGCCTGAATTGGGTCCTGGCTCGTTCTCCAGTAATCGGGCTCGATGCGGAGTGGAAACCCCTCAGAACCCAACAATCCGCGTTCCCAAATGTATCGCTCCTCCAACTCGCTTGTCAACTCAGACCTGAACGCCGCTCTGACTCGGCGGCGGAGGAGGAGGACGCGTCGGTGGAGGTTTTCCTGCTTGACCTTGACTCGATTCCCCTGCCTTCCATATGGGAATTGATGAGGGAAGTATTTACTTCTCCGGATATATTGAAATTGGGATTTAGGTTCAAGCAAGATTTGGCCTACTTGTCCTCAACCTTCTGCTCCCATGGTTGTGATCCTGGGTTTGACAAGGTAAACAATATAAAAAGCCTGCATCTTTTCCCCACTATGAAATGTCTGGTTGTTTGTGTTGCTTTGCTTTCCCCTGTCTTTTGTTATGAACGAACTTTTGAGTATTGGTGGCATGTGACAATGCTAGTTTTTGTTTACTGCGTTGCTGAAAATACATCAGCTAGGAGATAATGATGAATCGTGTAGCTGAAAAAGCCTGAAACTTCCTTTGCACTTTAGAAGCTCTTTGGTTAATGTTTAGCTGATAGTTGTTGAAGAGAAGAAAAAGGATGACGTTAGTGTTTGTTTCTTCACAAATTGATATGCAGTAACTTCCCGGGATCTTCGATTTGGCAATAATAGGGACTTTTGCATTTCAGACAACTTGCTTGTGGTAATAGGTCCGCTTGATTTTGTAGGTTAGTTACTAATTTTTAGGCATGCAGTGCAATCTTGGCTGCCAATATTCCCTGCTCTTGTTTAGGCATATCGATCGACAATTAATACTGGAAATGGGTTGCTTGGGTTTGGTCTTGTAATTGCGGTGTTCAATGTTTATATTTCTGCAGAAGGATAGCCTTCAGGGATCTGAAAAAGAGTCGGCCTGAACTTTTCTTTTGGTCCTGGGAATCATGTTCCTCATAATTGCAGCTGGGTCACACAGATCTCAGCCAATTCGGCACCATTTCTATTTTTTATTGAGGGACGACTCCAGGACCATAGAATTGTTTCTGTACCAGTTTTTTTTTTTCTTCTTAATGATGGTATCTGTTTCCGTTGCTGAACATTGGGTCATGGTGAACAGGTGGAGCCATATTTGGACATCACTAGTGTTTATCATTATCTGCAGCCAAAGCAACCAGGAAGAAAGCTACCAAAGGAAACAAAGAGTTTGGCAACTGTATGCAAAGAGATTCTGGGAATTTCCCTTTCTAAGGTATTCTTTAGAAACCTATTTTCTTCTAAAGTTTCCTAAGAAAACAAATCCATTTCGCATAGCAAATGGGTGTCTCTTCAGCATGTTTTGGAATAGTTTTGGTGTTTTTTTTTTCTTGATTTTCCATTATAGTCTTGTAAGAAGATTAATGTATCAGCGTTCTTAATTATTACTTTTTTTGGTAACACAAAAAATTTCCAGCTTAATAGAGTTCCCCAATACTCTTCCGCTGAATTTTCTAAATTCCTGCCTTTTAAGGGGTCCGATGTCAACATTTCTACAAATTGAATGTGCGATTGATCTTTTATTCATCTGGACAATGCACATGAATGATTTGTTAATGATATCTATCATGTATTAGGAACTTCAATGTAGTGATTGGTCCTGCCGACCTCTTACTGAGGAACAGAAAACCTATGCTGCTACAGATGCACATTGTTTGCTTCAAATTTTTAATATTTTCGAGGAAAAAGTTGCCGAAAAAGGTTTGTTGTCCTTGATAGAACTTGTAAGAACGCAGAAAATCCTGAGTTGTTAATTGTATTTAAAAGTAGTTTGCTCCATTACAGGAAGTTCTTCTCAAGTTGTAAATGGGCTGGATACTCTGCATATTGGGTTGAAAGAAGTTCTTGAGCAAGATGAAAGTGGTAATAAACATATGAGGATTAGAACTTATGAAGCTTTGGCAATAGTTAGGGCTACTGTTTCTTCTAAACATTTCCAAACTATAGTCTCTGGAGAGGGAGTACTTTCCAGGTCAACCTCTATAAATACCATGCCCATGGATGGGTCACTCCTCAGAATAGTAAGAAAATATGGCGAAAAAATCCTGTTGAGAGAATCTGACAGGAAACCGAGATCCTCTAAGAAAAGAGGAAAGAGAAAACCTCCCATGATCACTCAAGTTACTAGAGAAAAGTGGATAGATGACAACGTTTGTAGCTGGGAAGGGAGCACGCCATGGGAATTGTCCGAGGGCGGTGATGGATGCCCGAAGTTCCTTTGTGATGTTATGGTACAGACAAAAGTTTCATTTGTGGCTTTGATTGTTATTTTCAACCAATCTTTACAAACTCTAAAATTTCTCATTTTCCTAGTTTTCAGTAATCATATGTATTGCATATTTCATTAGTGTAATTTAAGATATATTCACCTATAGTCTGTAAATCTCACATGTTTACTTTTTCTGCCCATATGTTCTGTTTTCTATAGGTTGAGGGTTTGGCAAAACATCTTCGTTGTGTGGGAATAGATGCTGCAATCCCATGGTCCAGAAAACCAGATCCAAGGTGATTTGATTGCATACCTCCCTTTTTATATGAATGCATGTTCTTTGGATGTCTCTAAACCATTATGGATTGAAGCATCATAATGTTTCCTTACTAATTCCAGGGAGTTAATAGATCAAGCACACAGAGAAAAGAGAGTGGTTTTGACTCGGGATGCAAAACTATTAAGGCATCAGCACTTGATAAAGAACCAGATATACAGAGTGAAGAGTCTTCTTAAGAATGAACAACTACTGGAGGTAAAAGACTGTTCTCTCTGCAACATAATCTCCACTGGAATTGTTTGCAACTATTGCTAAATTTATTAAAACTAGTTGATGATAGGTTTGAGATGATTGTGGAGACCAAACAGGGGGGTTAGAATTAATATATATTTCTAGAACACTAACACTTTGAAACCTGCAAAATCTGTTTTCTTAGTCCTATTTAGTACCACTAGATTTTGGCATCTTGTTAGAGATATGCATGGTCTGCCGTGAAATGCATGTAATTCCCTTTACTGGTTAAGTTTGTTGGACAAGAATCAACCAAATGGGTGGTTCTTCATGATTCTCAATGTAGATTTGGTGTTACAGTCTGTGATGTGAAAGCTGAAACGAAATGCAGGTGATCGAGACCTTTAATCTAAAGATCAGTGAAAATCAGCTGATGTCGAGGTGCACCAAGTGCAATGGGAAGTTTATCCAAAAGCCATTAACAACAGAAGAGGCAGTTGAAGCTGCAAAAGGTTTCCAAAAGATACCCAGCTGTTTGTTCAACAAAAATCTGGAATTTTGGCAGTGCATGGAATGCAACCAACTCTACTGGGAGGTACTTCTGCTACTTCTTCCTCTTCTTTGTATGTCCTTTGTTGTTTCTTTTTTTCATGTAATCTTCAAATGTTTGAGCTGAAACTGTGATGATGATGCGATGTTGGTTCCAATTGCAGGGAACCCAATACCACAATGCAGTTCAGAAGTTTGTGGACATTTGTAAGTTGAACGAGTAAAAACTTAGAACCCTTGTATTACATGGATATTTTGGTATGTAAGCTAAATGAAACTATGACAGAAAATACTCTACGAAACTTAAACCAGCTGGACTTCAAGCCATGAAATACAAAGCTCGACAAACTTCTACGCAATAACCATGTCTTTGGCAATGGGACGAAGCTTGCAGTTGAGCTGCAGAGGGATCAGCTTTGGCATAGTAATCCCAGGGCCTTCTGCCATGTCAATATCTTCCTCCTCGACCACCTTCTTCCACTCAAAGCACTGGATCAAAGATGCTAGAGTCAGCCCGACGAGTCGTCGAGCTAGACCCTCCCCAGGGCAAGCCCTTCGACCCATCCCAAACGGAATGGGCTTAGGACGACGACTACTACTACGATCTCCAGCCTCAGCTTCTCCATCACCACCGGTCTCAAACCTCTCCGGCTTGAAACTCGTTGCGTCGTCCCAGACCTCAGGATCCCTGTGAATGGCCCAAGCATTCACCAGCAGCATTGTGTTCCGCGGCACGTGGTAGCCACCAAGGGTGAAATCTCGAGACGAGGTGCGAGGAATCAGAAGCGGTCCTGGTGGGTATAATCGGAAGGTTTCGGAGATTGTGTTCTGCAGGTACTGCAACTTAGGGAGGTCATGTTCTTCCACCATTCGACCTTCCCCGACCTGGGTATCAATCTCGTCCCTCGCTTTCTTCATTATCTCCGGATGGTTGAGCAGGTTCGACATCGCCCATTCTAATGTCACCGTCGATGTGTCAATCGCCCCTAAGAAGACATTCTGTTTCATTTCCACAGTGAAACGAAATTAATCTAACCGTTAGTATAAATTTACACGAACGAGGTCGATTGACTACACAGCTGACCTGAATGAGGCCTTTGATGATCTGGTCGGAGTATTGCTCCGGTTCGACGTGCTGCAACGAGAGGAGATGATCAATCATTGTTTTGCCGCCATTATTGGACACTCGATGTTCATCAATCAGCCTCTGCATAAACTCATCTAGTCTCTTGGAAAGTCCGGCCAGCTTCCTCTCGTACCTTCCACCATCAAGCCAATTCAAGACCGGCAGGAAATCGGCATTGCTAGAAGCCCCAGCACAGGCCAGAACCTCCACCATTATCTCCTTAAATTGCTCCTGGCCGCCGGACGCCGGTCCATCGTACCTTTTCCCGGCGATCATCGTCATCACGATGTTGAACATCAGGTCGTGAAACATCGTCCTGACCTCGACTTTCTTACAAGCATTGTCGTTGTGATCCGCCAGGCGGAGGATGAGGTTCCTGATTTCGTCCCTCCGGATGCCGGCCAATTCGTTGAGCCGGCCGGAGGAGAGGATCTCGACGGCGCCGACGCGGCGGAGGTGTCGCCAGTGGTCGCCGTAGGGCGCTTGGACCATGGTGGTTTGGTTGTAGCCTATGTGCTTCCCAACCATGAGCAGGGGACGGTTGGCCAGAGCAACGTCATTTTTGCCGGTGAAGCATTCTTCGGCGGCGGCAGAGGACGACACGACGACGGCGGGGCGGGAGCCGAACTGGATCCACATGATTGGGAATTTCACGGCGCCGGCGCCATTGTGGGAGAGATTGTGTAGAGAACGGTGGACGGGTTTGCTTAGGAGGTGCAAGTGGCCGAGGAAAGGGAGGGCGCGGCGGTTGGGAGGGCTTGGTGGCAGTTGGAGGCTGTTTTTGGCGGGAGATGTGTTGTTGGCGCCGCGATGGAATTGGAAAGCTACTGCGGCGAGGAAGATGAGGGAAATGGAGACGTAGATGGAAGCGTCGATCTCCATTTGCCTGCTCTGCTGCTACTCTGCAGCTTCGCTTTGGCCTCTGGATCTCTCTGTTTCTGGACTCTGTTTTAGGACTCTGTTTCTCGGAGGAGGAAATGTGCATCGTTTTTTATATAGGGAAAATTATAAGACTGCGTGAGAAAATTGATTGATTAGTAATTGAGATTATTAACCTTTGAATGAGAACAATATGCTATCTGTTCGGATATAAATAGATTTACGTACTTGATTAAAACGAATTGAATAAAACTATGCGAATATGACGAGGCGGCTTACTCAACGAACCATCTCCCTAACCCTAGCAAAATTAGACCTCGTGATCAAAAAGCCAAACTGATAACTTTCTACTAGGTAGGCGACCACTTTGGAGTTACCGCATCATTTATTGTTTCAATGGATCAAATTATTAACCTTTGAATAAGAAGAATATGCTATATGTTTGGACTTTGGACATAAATAAATTTACGTATCTAATTAAAAAGAATCGACTGGAACTATGTGAATGACGAGACAGGTAAGACGGGAGCTTACTCAACGAATCATATGCCTAACCCTAGCAAAATTAGACCTCATGACCAAAAAGCCAACCTGCTAACTTTCTACTAGGTAGAAGACCACTTTGGATCAAATAGTCAATTTCTTAACTAAATAGGATTAGATTTTCTTAAAATGAAATGCTAAAACATGTTCTTGTTGGATACTTATATTAAACGAAATTGTGACGCCCATTATATCCTATATACAATCCCGTGTTTGAAAATCTTGATTTTAAACGTCAAAGGATGGTAACCAAGATACATGAACTGGCCTCTAATGCCTGACTAGCTAGCCTAGGTAATCTATTGGCTTGTTTTCCTTAATCAAAGTATGAGAAATTTTAACCTTTCCATTTTATCGGGTGAGTTTTTCGAACCTTTAAATCGAGGTTATACTTGAAAGCGTTGGTGCTTATAAACATTGTAAATTCTTTAATTTTATTGTGTCTACTCATTACTCAAAACAAAAAATTGCGAAGGTATAGAAATGGATCATTGGATGCTTGTTAAAATATTGAGTTATGTTGGTATTAATGCTTCAATTTAATGCAAGATTTGGAGTTATGTGAGTTACCATTTATTCTTGGGCTGGGTAGTAAACAGATGGATGGGCCGACAGGCCGAGACACATCCATAATAAGCCTAGTCATGGTGCTATGGGCCTAATGTTAATATTCTTGGGCCAGACGGTTGTCGGCGTCGATTAGTAGTTAACCCACTCCCGCCGGCGGATTCCCGAACAAGCGGTTGAGGGAAAACTCGCCGGCTTTCCCCCTTCATCCTTACAAGAACAAAAACCGTTTCTGTGTTCCCTCCTTTCTCTGTCTCTAACGGTTACCGGAAATTAACGACTGCCTCCGTTTTCCTCTCGTTTCCGAAGCAATGTCCGACGCTTACTGGAGATACGCCGACCCGCGGCAGCCTCCTCAGCCGTCGTTGTCGCAGCAACCGCAACATCAACAGCAACAGCAGTACCAGCAGCAGCAGCAGCCCCCGATGTCTTCTTTCGTCGGGAAACGCCCACGTACCGGCGAATATGGTAAATTCAATTCCTTTCTCCTTCCGCTCCCTCTCTCTCTCTCCTTGAGCTATCTCGGAATTTCCAGCTCTTATTTGCCTGCTGCTTTTTGGGTTCCCTTTGGTTTGAGATTAGGGTTGCCTCCCCCTTCCGAAGCCATTATCGATCTGGGTTTGTGCGTATTTGGGTTTTGTTTGAATTCTGTTGTGAAAGATGCATATTGCTTCAATTCTATGCCCTCTGACATTGCCGGCAGACAAAGATGCTTCAATGGCTTTTGTTTGAGCTAATATTATCATTGGATGCTCTTGAGTTGGTGTTAATATCGAGCTACATGATCTTTGTAGATGTTCCTGGTGGGCGTGAACTCTCCAATTACTATGGGCGTGAAGATGAAAGAGGCGGAGGTGGTGGTGGTGTTCGAGTAATTAGAGATACAGATGCCCTTGGATCATCTTATGATCGTTACCTACGCAGTGTGGTAATGAAATGTTTTGCTTAAATGTTTATCGATATGGGCTGGAATGTTTTGCTATCCCACTTGGCACTTCAACTGAGTTCAGAATGCTTCATTTTTTCTTCTTCTTTGCAGCAAGCTCCATCGTATGGTGGTAATGGACAATCTGCTAGACCCATGGGTGCAGGAATGGGAAGCATGGAGCCCGGGGGTGCTTCAATGAATGACAGAAACCTTGGATTTGGTGGTGGAAGGAGTGATCTTTCACTCCCTCCTGATGCTAGCAGTACACTGTTTGTGGAGGGTTTGCCCTCCGATTGTACAAGGCGTGAAGTTTCTCGTATCCTTTTCACTTCGATGTGTGATTTTTATTGCAAGGTTTTATTACAAATGATATATTTTTATTGCACAATTCCTTGATCTAAGGTGACAGATATATTTCGGCCGTTTGTTGGTTACAAAGAAGTTCGACTAGTAAGCAAGGAGTCAAGACGCGTATGTTTTCATTCTCATCATCATGATAGTCTATGAATTGTTTATCCTTGGTCTTGGAACTGGTACATAAGTTGATTTGTGATTTTGATACTGTGCAGCCTGGGGGAGATCCATTGATCCTCTGCTTTGTTGACTTTATGAGTCCTGCCCATGCTGCCACCGCTCTGGATGCCTTGCAAGGTAAAGCATCCTTGTCATACGTTATGCTAGCATCAAAGTCGTCCGCATTTGTGATGTTTTCCCTCTTAATAGTTGCCCCATTTTCATTTGTGTCCTTGTGGATTCAAGTGGTACCATTTAGATTTGATTCCTGCTTCAGAAGTGGAGATTCCGTTATGCTTAAAATACCAAGACCTGAGTGCCCAATTGATTACAATGATAGATTATCTTGCTAAATGGGGCTTTATCTGGTTGTCCGTTTGCAAACTCAACTGAGAGTGAACGTTTCTGCAACACCAAAGGAACTGGTCATCTTATCCCCAAAATGTTTTAATATCCTTTCGCTTGTGGGAAGGAACAAATGGTTGGCTCCTCAATTCTTGCGCGTGTGCGAACTGGTTTAATGTTCGGTGCAGTACGTTCAGTGCAGTATGTTCTTAAGTGTCTGTATTTTGCGGTGAAATGAACTCTTACGTCGCTCGAAACCGTCAGGGGTCATCCTGCGTGCGTAAATAGTCGAGCTCGCTTTTTGCAGGTTATATGTTTGACGAGCACGATCATGATTCACTCCAATTAAGGTTGCAATTTGCTCGCTATCCTGGTGCGAGGTCAGGTAGCGGGCATCGTGGCAAGCGTTGAGTGACAGGATGATTTTGGCAGGTGACTAGTGCTTACTACACTTACTAATCCCGCTCGACCTCTTACTACTGTTCCTGCAGTCGTCAATTAAGTAACGATGAATTCCGCTAAAATCATCCAAACGTCTCTGTAGGACTCGGCTAAACGACAGCCTCGCTTCGAGTATTATGCGATTTCCCTAATGGATGCGTTCACTAGGTCGATAAACTCGATAATGTGTCTTCCAGTGCCGGTGGATGTAGACGTCATACCTTTTCTGTTGAGAGAGTTGGAAAGTTTTCGCTTTGAATAATGATCTAGAGTTCTGATAAAGTTCTGGAGGATTTGTTGTTCCTTCCTTTGCCATTGCGATAAACGTTTTTCTATGTATTGATATTTACGACTAGGAGGTAATCTCAGGGAAGATATACTTATTCAAGCAAGCACATAACTCAGAGAGTGCATGAAGAATGAGTTATGTATACTACTATGAGTTGCCTGCCTATGGATCTTGTTCTTGTGCTACTCTGTTGATGCTAACCCTTCTTTATTAAGAATTATCCAGAAATTCAATCTTTTTCTGATTGCATAGGTAGAATGTCTATTGGACATGCTGTTTTATTGCTCCTTGAACTTGAAGATGTGTTTCTGCTAGTTAGCACCTCGCCATTGTCTGCCCCTTGTCTATCTTTTCAGTAACATGACAAGATGCTCTTTTGGCTTAGCTAAAATCCAGGGTCCTTGGTCTTCACAAGTTTCAGAGCTGTTATCATTTCAGTATCAGTTAAATTCGACTTCTGATCTGACTTTATGCTGATAGGAATAAGTGATTATTGCTGGTCTGTCGCATATGTGTTATTCTAACTAGTCACTTATAGGCTTAATAGTTTTGCAGTCTATTTGTCAAGGGTGTGTGCTTGGTTAGTGTTTACACAGTTAGAACACAGCTTCTTTTGCAGCACATGTTGGAATGCAATGCCACAAAGATGCAGTAGTATTCCACTTCTCTTCACTAGAAGTGTTTGAAGTTCTGGATTACACTCCACTAGACCACTACTGCTATGGTTTGTCAGGAAAGTTTTTAGGCTAGTGTTATGAAATTGCTAGCATCTTGTCATGGTGAATGTTATGATTTGTTGGTCATTATTCATGTGAAGGCATATGGTATAGGGACTGTGTCTCTCAGTCATAGTCCTTAGCTGACGTTTGTGCCTCTTGTGGGAGCTCCTTAGTGTCTATGGATGGTGTTTGCTTCTGATTCTGCTGATGCCATGTTGTATCTGCCACTAGACAGTCAGTTTCATACGACGATCTTATGCAGGTCTAGTGCTGCAATCGGATTGCACAGATCGAGCACGGGGTACTAAAAAGGGTGGTTTTCACAGATTAGATTCTTCCAAGTTCCAACCCTGTAGTACGCAGCAGCGAAGATCGACGTCGCTTTCTGAACTTACAGCTTCTTCTTCTTCGTCCACGATTTATAGCTAGCTGGTTGGGTTGTTGCTGACTAAAGAGTAGACAACGTGCTAACTTTTATGACACGGTTACTGCTTTCGAGCTCTACAATGAGTGCCGACTTGTTATCAGCGATGCCCTTTGTTCGAAAACAGAGTTGGATTAAGACTCGGAATCCGAGCAATGGGATTTCTGATAGTAAATCTGGTTCTCAAATGAATGTTGCTGGCTCCTTTTGCATTCCAAACACACAAAAAATGAAAATTCATTCCATATCCACTCCTAAAGAATTGATGGAGTTCATTATACCAAATGATATGCAAGTGCACATCTATCAGACTATGACATGTTACTGATTTCGGGTTATACAATATGATACACATGGTAACTTAAATTCATATTTTAATCATTGATGATGATCTAAATATGATGATATAGTCTAGAATTGCAATTAATTTATACATATTCACTTATAAGTTTGTTCTCTTTTGTTTTATGAATACAATTTTTTCCAGCTAAAATCATAAATCACTACTAGTGATATGTTTACACAAAAATTGCAAACGATAACCAATGACGGAGCTAGAAATCTGAACAGGAGGCTAAAAATCTACACTTTGAGAATTTTGAACCATGGTCATTAGGAAGTGATGCTAGTGACTTACCAAACTAGTTCATTTATAGAACTTGTTATGAATTTTTCATGTAAACTTATGTACATTTGAAAGTTGAGTGGGGCTATAGCCTCTCCTGGACTTAACGTGGCTCCGACGCTACAGTAATACTAAGAAACCACACCCAAAAGTACACCATTCTGCTTACACAAAAACTCGTGGTTGGTCAAAAGAAACTCTTATATTCTCTCATACGCCGATACTCGAGATCAAGGAAACCAGTGCAAAAACCTACGACACATTTTTTCTCTTTGGTTAACCAAGCCTCTTGTTCCTTTTAATAGTCATTCGATCAATTCATGAGTTACACACGTAGCGGTAGCAAATTTGATAAAAATGTCTAACAGACAAGCAAATCGCAAATGATTATCCGATAAATCTACTTTATTTTGTTCATTATAATACAAACGATAATCGGTGAGATCGTATTGATAAATTGAGTGATATATACACCAATAAGATACCGTATGACCCCGCGTCCACTAAACCTAAACTAAAGCAGAAATCAATGTGTAAAATTATGGAGAATTAACAATTTGAGCCCACTTGCCGCAAGCTAATTATTATACAATTAATTTAACTCAAGTGTGGATAAAGTGAAGTCTTATTTTAATTAAGAAACTAAAAAAAGGTGATGGATAGGACCGAAAGAGAAAGAAATTGACCAAGTCGTCCTTTTTTTTCCTTCTGTTGTTGGTTTTATATGGTCCTAGTCGCCGTCCTACAGAAAAGCCGAAAGCCAACAAAATGAGCATATCTTATTCTTCACACCACCAACATTCTGAGAATCTCCTACAGCGCCTCCAGCCCACCTGCCTGCCAACCACAGCCGCATACCGTACCGATGGTCCGATCGAAAAAACGATATTCACATACCTTATATTTCAAAACGATAGATGATGATGATTTTAACAGTATCAAACGATAAGATTTAAGTTAAACTGCGGTTTTCAGTATGAAATACGTGCTCCCACCGATTTTCGAGATACAACATCGATCTGCAAGTACGGTTTTACCTGCATCCTTAAAAGGCCGAAACCCCCTGCTTCATATGAGATACCGCGCCGCAAGCTATGGGACAAACCAAAGTACCACATCAGAAATATATATAAGTGTCTAGCTGCCAAACTTCACTATTACGAAGCCCTTTGAGAAGGACCCCAGAAATAAAATCCGTGCAAATTCAAACCCAACACGGATAATATCGTACTAATGGAACTACCCTCTGAAGAGATACATACGAAAGAGAAGATCATACGATGATTATATACGTAGAATCAGCTGTGAAGAAGTAGATATGGTAATGGAGAAAAGCATACAAGAGTGATATTGATTCGGCTCGGCTCCGCTGGTACGTTTTCCTCTGCAGCCATGCCGGCCGGCGGACAGGGAGGGAAGGAAGGAGGGAGATGAGCCGGACCAATATCACGCCATGTCTACTTTCTCCGGCGAGTTTTCTGGGCCATTTCTGTGTTTTTTTGCTGGTCGGCTGAGAGTGATGATGGGAGGGATAATGAAGGGTTTGTGGGTCGATGAGAGGCCTATAAATAGCACCCAAAAAAGAAGGATTCGTATTTTCCTTTTGATAAGGTTGTTTTTGGATGTATTTTAGGGCACAACGTGATACCAGCTGCAATAGTTTTTAGGTATAATTTATTGAAGCTGTGTTTGAGAGACCACCTCAAAGGGATTAAAAAAATATTATGGTCTGAAATGATTGGAATATAGGAGTCATTTGAGAATTATATTTTACAATAATGGGTCCCACATATTTAACTCTTCTCATTATTATTATTATTACGAAAATCAATAAAGTGATATGTTACAATTGAGAGTGTGAGCTCCGCGCTGCTACGATGATAAGCATCGGTGCTTTTTTTTTTATGAAAATTTTTTTGTTATACTACAGACTGAATTTGTACGTTTAAATGTTGTGGGTTCGGATTTAGAATGTACATATATGTCTTCATACGAAATTCTTTTATCGTACGAACAAAATTTGTACCGCTAACGTCGAGTACAAATCTAGTTTGTACCAATTCATTTTTCTTACGAATTCTTTTTTTTCTTGTAAAAAAACCAATTCTTTTTATGGTACAAACATATTGAACTAGTAACTTCGATATTATAATGCAAATTCAACTTATATCTAAAAACATCGTTGTAAAATATTTTAATAGAGTACTATAACTCACATGTTAATAACATGCAAGGTGAAAAAGGGTTGGTCTCGGATATGATCTAGATAAAGTAGCTAGTGCATGTCTTCTCTTTTCGTTTAATATTATGAACAAGACATTATAAAGTTTAATGAGATTAAAAGATTCTCGTTCAAAAAGTAAAAATTGAAAGGATTGTCCTTTCATGTTTTACTTAATTATTTCTGATGGTCCCTAGCTCCTAATTTTCTTGTTCACTTTTACTAATCTAGTAAATTTTTCTACTTTCTTAAATTCGGTCTATAAAGTAGTTCCTCCAACATCAAAAGAGTGAAATAAGAAGCTCCAAACCTATCAACCACTAATAACATGTAGAGTTATGGCACAATAGCTATAGTTTTTTTTTATAAAGGTGATAGAGGTTTCATTTTATTGTCATTAAGGTACTACTTAACGAATTCGAACCTGGTACCTTCATGTTCTGGGTTTAGTAACATTACCATTAGGCCAAATCCTTGTTTTTTTTAATAGAAAATGAGACTCTAAAATGACGTTCCTAACTTCCTGCCTGACACTTAGATTAAACGAGACTGGAGGATGGTCAAAGTATCATACAAGATCCAAAAAATAAGACCAAGATCTGAAGTATTTGAGCATGGAAACCTATGCTAGCGGAATGAGCTCTATTAGCTAGGAAATCGGTAGTCCTGTTTTCATGTCTTTTAAACATTTCTAGAACATAAGCGCAATCCAAACTATCTAAGGGGTCGTTTGGAGAACAGGATTCAGGACATGGATTCATTGAATCCGTAGATTTTGTAGAAAGTTATGTTTTTTTGTTACTTTTTGTATTGTGGATTCTAGCTTTAGAGATTTCAAATCTCTAAAATCCGCGGATATCAAATCTCTCCTAATCAGAGAGATTCTATATATTGATTCGTGAGATTTTTTCTCTCCTAATTTTTCTCTTTCTTTTATTTATTTATCACATGAAATATATTTATCAACAAAGTTTTTTTTATATTTCTCGAACCACTCTAATTTTTTTTATTAAGGATAAACATGTTATTTAATATAAAATAATTTTTTTTATTTTACTTGATTGTTAACAATCACAGTTACCAAACAATAAACATTTTAAAATCTGTTTTCAACAATCTGGAGAGTTAGAATCTTTAGATTGTTGACAATCTATAGATTTAAACTCATATTTTCCAAACGACCCCTAAGTTGTGAGTAAAGAAAACACTTCAATGATTTAGGGACTCGACAGAAAGGGGAAACAAACAATTAGTGAGATAAAATTTTAATTTATTTTAATTTCATTAATGTAAAATT